AATATGCAGAAATTTCCAAAAAAGGAAAAGAATGAAAGTGGGATTTTGAAACATAGTGAATAAATATCTCGGCAGGATGGTCAAGGGTCTTGCTGTTAGGAGGAGTGATAGGGTAAGTTTTAGGGTGCTAGGCTTCCCCAGGTTTTTTAGGGGAAGTTCCAAGATTTGAGCATGAGGAGCACAGACTTACCGACCCACCCCATTCCTTTGATCAGCCCGAGAAGGAGAAATGCTGAGAGGAACAACCCTACTCCATCTTCCAAGGAAGGGCCGGAGACTCCTGGGGATGGAAGAAATGTGGGAGATCTCATCCATTCTGTCTGGGATATGTGCTCTTAGCCTTTTGGACCCACAGGCTCCCTCCTCTCCTATCACCCTGTCCTTCCTTACCTGCCACTTCTAGAGACACCTGGGCACTGAGTCCTTTGGTTTTCATACTGGAGTGCTGGACCCGGCAGATATAGTGGGAGCCATGCTGCTCCACCGTGACTGGGGGAGGGCGCAGGTATGCTGAGATGCTGACAGTGCCATCGGGGTGATAGCGGTAGCTGGAGCGCCAGGCTTGACCACCTGCCACCCTGCTCCCTCCTCCTGTACCATTCTGAAACTCCCAGGCCACTTCTAGCTCCTCCGGGGGGTAGAAATGGGAAATGAGGCAGAGGAGCTCTGGGGGAGATTGCCCCGGGTATGCCCAGACCACAGGTGATGGGGTCAGGGTCACTTTTGGGGGCTCTGCAGGAAGGAGGAAGAGTATGTGGATTGTCAGCACCAAGGAACAATGAAACACAAGTTTGCCCTTTAGCTTCATCTCAGGCTCCCCCTGGGGAGCCTTAACTGGCCTCTTCCTGGACCCTAGGAACCCTTTCTCCTCCCAGTTCAATCTTGCCCTCAATCCCCCTAGGGACTCAAACTCTCTCCACACATCCCACTCCCCCTTCCCCATCAGTCCCACACCCCTTCCCCTACTTCAGGTATTCCAATATCCAGTCCCCGCCCTCACTTACTCTGTATTTGCAGCTCTAGGGCTACTTGGGCCTGCAGGTGAGGAAGGTGGACCGTAGCCAGGTAAGTACCCTCCTGGTGAGGCTTTACAATGGGCAGCAGCAGGGTCCCGTTCCCACTCCATGGGCCCTCCACTCCTTCCTCATCCCAGGCAGCAAATGCCACTGCCCCCTCTGGAGACCCTAGGGCCTGGCCGCCCAATCCTGGAGTCACGGCCAAGAGCAGCTGTCCAATCCCCCGATGTTGGCGCCGCCACTCCAGCCCGAAGGGAGGGGGCCCCAGGGAAGAGGGGGCCCCACCCGAGTTGGGAGGTGTGTAAGTAAAACTCAGATCCAATGTGACCTTCTTACCGGGCCCCACCAACGCAGCAGGAGAGTGGGAGAAGACCGTCATCACAACTTTGGGGATGGAATGGAAATACAAGGGAGAGATAGGGAGAAGGGAAGAGAATTGGGCATGAATCGATAGAAATAAGGCAAAAGGGAGAGAAGTGAATGGGGGAAGGGGATAGAGTGAGAGAGAATTGGGGGAATGGGAAAAGATTGAGGATGGTAAAAGGAAATAGGAACATAGGGAAGAATGGGAAAGAATTTGTGAAATGGGAAAAAATTGCAGAGAAATTGAGTTAAGGAGGGTACTCCATTTAGGGGGCCCATCTCTCAGTCCCCTTTCTCTTGACCAATTTCTCTCTTCCCTTCCCTCTCCCTTGCCCCTCACCATCAGTCAGCCAGACAAGAAGACCCTTGCACTTTCCCCTGCCCCTGGTCACCTTGACAACAACTCCCCTTCTCAACTCCCTGGTTGCCATGACAACACTTCCGTGCTCTCATTATGTACCCTTAGTCTTGTGGGGGACAGGGCCCAGCAGATGGGTGCCTGAGATGGGAGGGGATATCAGAATCTAGAGCACTATGATCCTTGGAAGGCTGACCCTTCTCATCCTTGCCATATGTGTAGTGACTGACAGAACCCTTTAAACTAACCTACCTATATACATGCTAACCATGTACATACCCATTCTCACTGCACCAAACAGCTCTCCACTCACATAGAGGGCAAAAAGTGAGTGATGGGAGGAGAGGCTGATCTGGGGGGGACCAAGTTCATAGAGGCATATAGTAGAATGTTAAAGTTGAAGGGAATCCAGGGATTTTAATCCCCAATTCTAAGGGAATCAAAACACTCAATAGTGTTTCCTTTGCAGCTGTGGACGTCCCTAGAAAGGGCAAATTTAATATTAAAGAAACCAAGCAAACTTCACACTTGAGCCAAGGTTAGATAACTGCAGCAACTGCCTCATGCCTAAATCAACTGTCTTATCTTTTCCTTCCTGTGGTTTGGTTTTGGTGAGGCAGTTGGGGGTGGGATGGGGAGAAACAAGGCTATCCAAAAGGCAGGAAAAATTGGAGCTTGGGGTTGGGGGAAAGGAGTAAGGAGAAGTGTTGTTGGCCAAACAGAAGAGCAATTTAGGCAACATGTGTCAGAAGGGCCTTTAGAAACCTCTGAGTCCAATACCCTCTTTTTACAGAGGGGAAAACTGAGGCCCTGACAGTGGAAGGGTCGCACAGTAATGTCAGTGGTTGAAATGAAATTAGAATGCCGTTATCCTGACTCTCAGTTTAAGTGAGCCAAATTGCCTCCTGTAGGGGGGAATAATTGCAGGGGAAAGCAACTGAAAAGAATGAGGAAAAGGGGAGGGAAGTGAAAGTAAGGGAAGTTAAAGGGGAAGGGGCAGAAGACCCTGTGTGCATAATCCTGCATCAGCTTTAAATACCTTCCCCTTTAAATATCTTGATCGATTGATTAAAAGTGTGGAACAGAGCCCTAACTTTCAAAACTCCAAACCCTACCTAAGTCTGGTTTTAGCACCAAGATGCCCCCTCCCTTACCTCTCTCCCTTACCTGTTGCTATGGTAACTGAGGAGGGGACAGGCTGGGACTGAGACAGTTGCAGGAGGCTGGTAAGGCGAACCTGGGGACTAGATAAGCTGATCACCAGCCAAGTCCCATCCAAGGACCGAGGAGAGTGAGGCTCAGGGGTTAGACCAGCCACCCAGTCTGAAGCTGCAGGGCTGGGGACATAGCGATTCAGCTCACAGCTTGGGGTTACAGACTCCTTCAGGGAGTCCCCAAGAGAGCCAGCAGGATCTGGGACAGGAGAAAGAGGGAGTGTCAGCTTGGAGAATCAGGACTGGAAAGATAGGTGACTTACAAGGTAGATCTCCCAGGGGGCAGAGGAGATAAGGGATATGGGTGAAGGCTGGGATTCAACTTGGTAAGGCCTCAGTAAACAAAGGGAAGGGGGCCTAGAAGTGGGAATGATAATGCCAATTAACAATAAACTTTTCAACAGAATAATGATAATAATGGCTTACATTTACATAGCACTTTTAAGGTATAGAAAGCTCTGTGCAAACATTAACTCAGCCAAATTTTCTGGAAAGGGGACTGGCTCTGGAGTCAAATCTGACCTCAAAATTCACTTAATGGCCTTCTGCCTTAGTTTCCCCAACTGAAAAGGGAAATTTCTGGACTAGATGGCTGCTTAGGGCCCTTCGAGATCTAGATCTACGATTCTTACAACTACCCTGTGAGATAGGTTGAGCAAATATGTCATCGTCATTTTACAGGTTCAGGTTCAGTGACTTGGCCAAGATCATCAAGTTAGTAAATGATAAAATTCAGATGTGAGAACCCATGTTTCTGGATTCCAAATCCAGTCCTCTTTCTGTTGCCAACTCCGTGAGGAATGCAGGTGGAGTGGGTGGTAGCAAGGGCTGAGACTTCAGGCCACGAAGAGAGGCTTAGGGGTGTCCAAATCAGAACACTTACCATACACTTTCAGATAGAGCGAAGAGTCAAGGTCAGGCCTCGGTGGCGGCTCCCCAGGGCCCTGTCTCAGCAGCAGCACAGCAGGTCGCTTGGTCACTTCCCGAAGCATTCCCCCACCACCCTGCTCTTCCACAAACCAACACTCCAACACCGAGGGCCCCGGGCGAGCAGTGGCCCATCTCACTGCCAGTATGCCTAGGGAGAGGAAGGACGCTGGGGAAAGGGCTAAATCCTCAAGGAATCCCCTTCCACCCTGACGCCAATCTCATCGGTATCATAAACGCTGGGAGCCCTGATAAAGGGGGAGGGGCAACCATCAGGGGCTCAGGAGAAAGGGGGTTACCTCACCTAAGGCCAGGAGCAGGCACAGCAGCTTCATAGCTCCTATCCCAAGCCCCTCCAGCAGCTACTGCTGCCGTTAAGAGAACATCCCCTTTCAGTTTCACTTTCCCCTAAAAGGCAAGTACCGGGAATCCCCTTCTTAGCAACAAACACGGGGAAATAAAGTAGGTGAGATCCCAGTGCCGACACAAAGGGATGAGACCTTGTTCCCTCACCCCACCCCCATGGAGTCCTTCCTCATTTCTCAAGTATCAAGTCCAGACAGACCCTCCCAGGCCCTGCCACGCCAAGTCCCCACTCCCTTCCCTGGACCCAGGCATTTGGCCACAGAATCATGGAATGTCACACCTAGAAAGAGATTTTGGTGTCACTCAGTCAACCCCCTAGTTTTGGAGAGGCAGAAACAGAGACCTGCCTTCCCCCCATCCCCAGCCCCACCCTGATCTCTTCCTCTTCCTTGTCCCCCATTAGCAAAGAAACACAGGTGATTGTCAGGTCAAGTGAAGAGACCAATAAATATTTTAATCACCGTTAAAAAAAATAATAAAATTTAAAAATAAAAACCTTACACTCCCAAAACTGGCTCCCTCCATGTCCTTGAAAGCCCCTATATGTGCATACCCCTTGTGGACTTACTGCAGGGATGGAGTTAGATGGGAAGAAATGGATATAGGTTTAATAATCCTGTAAAGGGGGAGAGGAGATTAAGGGAAGAAGGAATGAGGTGGCAGGCCTAGTCACCACAGTGACACACACAGACTCCAAGCACAAACTACAAATGGGACCACCTGCCCTGGAATCCTTGGGGATTCTGGACATATACCACTACCCATACACAGCCTTTTCCAGGTACCCAGATAACCTGGGGGTCTGGGTCTTAAGTGTTATTTATCTACCTGTTCCCTCTAGTGGAGGGGAAAGTAGGCTCACAGTTCCAGGGTTTCCCCTATGTTGGGGAATGGAATGGGGTTAATGGGAGGGAGGGGGAAGAGAAGAACTGTCGTGAATTTCCCTCTTTATATACAAACCCATGGAGGAGAGGGCATATCACTTGGGATCCACAGTCCCCTATCTCCTTTCCCCCAAACCAAGGATTTTTGGAGGAATCAAGCCCCTGGACCATGCTCCTACTCTTCCTTTGTAGGGGTATCAGCCCAACAAATGAGGATTGTGGGAATTACTCATCAGCTGCTTTCTCCAGCTCTTGGATCCAATCATGAGGGAATAGTTTGTTAATGTCCACCTCCACTACCATTGTAACCCATCTCCACCTTGTGCGTTCCTGGTGGGGACCAGACCCTCCTGTTGGGTGAAGAAGTGGTCCCTCCTACCTCATCTCCACTGCCACCCCCTGGAGGCTCTCTCTTGGGTAACCCCATAGTCCCTGTGGGCCCCCCTCCCCCTAGGCGATGCCTCCGTTCACAGTGGCCTCGGTGCCGCATGAAGCTGTCCCTCCACATGAATTTCTTTCCACACACACCACACTCATAAGGTTTGAGGCCTGTGTGGGTCTTCATGTGCTCTGTCAGGTGGTGTTTCATCTTGAATTTTTTGTTACACACAGGACAGTCAAAGGGACGCAGATTCAGATGCATATTGACATGCCGATCCCGCATGCTCTTGTGGGAGAAAGCTTTCCCACAGTGACAAAGGAAGATCTTGTTCCCATCCCCACCACTACTTCCCCCAGAACCGCCCCCACCACTTGCAGACACTCCCAAGTTGCCCCCTCCTGACCCTCCCAAGGTCACAGCTCCATGTTCAGCCTGGCTTCCAGGGGGCTGGGCTGAGGCCTGAGAAGAGGAGGGAAAAACTAAGATTTGGTTGCCCTGCATGTCCAGGGGCAACAAAGGGCGGGGTTGGTGGGAGGCAAAGGAAGAGGGGGCTGGTCCTCCAGGGTCATCCAGTCCTGGCCCAGTGGTCCCAGACTCATAAGGGCCAAAGTCCTCAGATGATTCACAGAAATTCACTTGTTCCTCACCCTTGTCTGCGGGGCCAGTCAGTGTCCGTACATCAGTAATACTTAGGCCAGGGTCAGAACTCCCAGCTGGTGGACCCCCTGAAGCCCCACCTAGCTCCTCATCCTCATCATCCTCGCATGTCAGTACCAGGTCTTCCTCCTCCTCCTCTTCCTCCAGGTCCGGGTCTTGAGAAGCAAGAGGAGCTGGGGCAGGGCAGCCTCCCCCTCGTTTAACATATACCCAGTGTTTCTGAGGCACGATGCTGGGAGGCACATAAGTAGGGCGCCGTAGCCCAGCCCCAGGAACTACCACCCCAACTCCATCCCCTCCATCATCACTCAGCTCATCTGCCTCTAGCAGCAGCTTCCCAGAAGTGCCACCCCCACTGCCCACCACAGAAGTGGGGAACAGAGGGCCTCCTCCACTCCGTCTTTCTCCTCCCCCCATAGAAGAGGCTGAATATGCATCATGAGAGGAAGATGAGAAATCACCAGAGTCTCTGGGGCTGAAGTAATTGCTGCTGCTAGGGGACTGATTCTCACTAGCCCTGCTGGATGAATGAGGGCGGCCAGAGCCTGTGGCTGTGATAGCTGGTCCTGCTCCCCCAACTCCTGTGGGGCCTCCTGCCCCAGAGGCAACTGCTGCTGTGGTGGCCATGGTGGTGGTGGCAGCTGTGGAGGCCCGGCCCTCTCGAAGGAGCTCTGTGCACTTGTCCACAATATGCCACATCTGGAGCACGGAGCCAACAGTGAGAAAGTTGACAATGTCTGCAGCAGCCATGCTAAGTCGGCCTGTATAGGCAGAGGCTAGAACAGTCTCAAAGGCCCCAGGGTCCATGACGCTGGGCAGTGAGATTGAGGTCATGCCCTTGAGCAAGACTTGGTCATGGAAGTAAGGGGAAGAAGCAGCCAAGACAGCCCGGTGAGCCCGGAATTCACGGCCCTGCACTCGTATCGACACGTCACAAAGCTGCCCTTGTAGCCGCTGCTGGTTGAGGGACTCCAGCAGTGCACTGGTCACTTCAGGGAAGGACACGTGCACCACAGCCGCTGCTGGCAGTGGCAGTGGGGGAGGTGCCAGCGACATAGACAGGGGGAGAGGGGCCCCCTGGGGAGAGAGTGGGGATGGCTCCATTGCAAGGAAGAACATAGGGAAGGGGGCACCCCCCCCCAGCCACAGGAACAGAGAAAGAGGAAGGGCGGCCGGGGGGGTCTCTGTGAAAAGAAAGAAAAGAGATGGGTCAGGAAAGCGAGGGACTCTTTGGGGATGGGGAGCAGCTTCCTTTCCATGCTCTAAGCTCTTTGACTTTAGCCACAGAACAGCACATGAAAGTTGAAAGGGAGCTCAGATGCCTGGGAGGTGGCTGTGGCACAGTGGAATGAGCACTAGACAGAGTCAGACACCTGGGTTGAGGAGGATCTGGACTGCCAAAAACTGGATGAATGGTGGATTCTAGGTTAAATGTTTTGCTTTCTCCAGGCCTCAGTTTTCTCCTCGGTCAAATCAGGAGGCTCTACTCTATAATCTCTAAGATCCCTTCCAGGCCTGATGGTGTGACCACATAATGTCCTTTCTACTCTGCTAGCTGTCATGTTTACAGATGGGGGAAACCGAGGCCCAGGGAAGAGAAGTCACTCTTCCTTTCAGGAACCCACTTTCATTTTTGCCCCTTTTGACTGTTCTGCCTCCACTTGTGAAAGATGTGAGAGAGTCCCACAAATTTCCCCAGGGTGTTCCCCCAGTCTTTCCCTCCCCTTGAAGCCCCACCCCCGGCGCTTCCTCAGACCACGCCTCGCCGCTATGGCCACGCCCCTCCTCCCTACAACTCCGCCCCCGCTCAGACCTTGTCTCCTCTGGAATCCCCACAGGCCCCGCCCCCTTCTTAGGACACGCCTCACGGGGTACTCCCCTGGCCCCTCCCCCTCACATCTTCTAGACCCCGCCTCTTCACTCCACACCCCCCCATCACTACCCGACCCCACCCCCCTCTGGTCCTCCCACCACTGCACACCCAGCCCTCCCTTCTGGACTAGCCCTCCCCCCGCCCCCAGGCGCGCGTCCCCGCTTACCGGGCCGCGCGCCCCCGGGCCCCCCCGCCCCTCACTCAGCGGCCAGAGCCGCAGCCCGGGCCCCTCCCGCCGCCATCTTGCGCCGTCTCCCTCCTCCCTCCGCCCCCGGCCCGCCCCCTGCCCCGCAGACGTTAAGGGAACCAGCCCATATTCCACCGCCCTACTGGGACAGATTTCGCCGACTCTGCCACTTTCCCTTTAAGGAATAAATACCTCACTCCACTTTAAAGGTACCAGTTCAATTTCACCACAGCGCGTTCATGTACCGTTTCAGCCGACTCGGTGTTTTTCCCTTTAAAGTAGTAACGCTGTCTATCCCCATTGACTATAGGTTCAAGAACCAATCAATCATCGCTTAAGCAAAAATGAAAGCAAATGAAATAATGCTGAAACGAGAGCCAACTAGCCAATGGCAGCAATACAGAGGTGTCTGTACTACCATTGGCTAGTTGCCTCTCATTTCTGCTCCCTCCCTTTCACCCGCCTCCAGTCTGCGATTGCTTCTCTCAGAGAGGGTAAAGCCCCCCTGAGTCAAGTGTGGATTGGCTGAAGAGACGAGCTTGGCGCTGGATTGGTCCTCTTATTCTTGCGGCGCTACGCATAGGAGCCGGGGAAAGGAGGCCAGGCCGTGGGAAGTGTTTTCACAGCTGGCGTGCTAGCAGGGGTAGTGGAGCAGGGTATGAAAAGTGTCAGGTGTGGAGAACAAGATCATCGTGTGTACAAGATGTTAGACAAAACTAGGAGAGAGTTAGTTCTAGTCTGCAGGGCAAAGCACTCAATCAAATAGGCAAAAGGCATTAGCTCCCCTTACACTGGGCTCTGGTGGGGATACAAAGCCAAAAAACGAAATATTCCCTTTTCACAACGAACTGTGAAGAAGGAAATCGTGGGGTGGGTTTGAGAAAGGGGTGTGAGCTGCCCAGTATCGAAGAAACTGGGAAGGAGGTACATGACAGATAGAAATGAGAATAAATTACAGTAAGAAAAGAACTTTATTTAGTTTCATTTTTATAAACCTTTAAAGTTTTTATTATTTTCAAAACACCAACAAAAAAGGTACAGCTCAGCTCCCCCCTCCCCCCCCAAATAAAAACAAACAAAAACTTGGGAACTGAAGGCTAGGAAAGCCAAACAGCTAGTCAGAGTCTGAGAGGATGATGATCTCTTCAGGGTCACATTGGGTTGCCACACTCATCTGGGGGAGGAAAAAGAATTGGGGAGAGGTTGGAAGAGACAGTCAGATATGGGATATGGCTCTATCAAAGGATGACAGATTTAGATCTGAAAGTGATCACTGAGTTCAAAGTTCCTCATTTTACAAATGAGAAAACAGATCAAAAGAGGAAGACATAATAAGCAGACTGTGGCAAAATCAGAACAATGAAAACAGATGGTGGACAAAAAGATCAGTACCCTTCCCTAACCCCTATTTCTGACCTTGCAGGCTGCAGGCCTGGGAGCTTGTGGTCTAGGGGGCCTGGATGGTGGAGGGCTACATCTAGAGCTGGTGACCAAGCCATGGCTGGGTGAATCCGCTCTAGTGGAAGAGTCAGCAGCTGGAACCAGGGAAGAAGCCAAGGGGGAGGGGACATTGGGGAAATGACACCTCTTCCCATTCTCTTGTTCATCTGCAGCTTGCACATCAATGCAGCTGGGGAAACAGAAACTGAGTAAGTATGAGTAATTCTTGAAAAAGCCCATTTCCCAAATCTCACATAGTTTATACTCTAAAGATCACTTCATGGCTAAGAAGCTCCCCCACTCCCACCCCATTCCTCTTATCCATGTTACCTGTGCCCAATTAGTTCTGCTTCTGTCATGTCTTCCTTCCGAGACTTCTTGAGGGGAGGACTAGGAACCCTCAGGGTGTTAGGAGAAACTCCACCATTGAAGGAAGTAGAGGTAACAGTGGCTGCCCCATTCTCCAGGAGGCTGGTGGGGAGGGGAGGTACTGGGCACTTCTTGGGAGAAGGGAGGTCCCTATCCTCAGGAGAGGGGACTGTGTCCAAAGGTAAGGCTTCAATCACCAACTCAAATAGCTGGGAGGCTGGGCTTTCAACATCTTGGGACAACTCTTCTGATGGGAGCTGTTCGCCACTGTCTTCATTCTCACGGCAAGTGGGAATGGGGTTCTTCCTTTGAGGTAGGGAGTATGACCCTGACATTGCTGCTTCGTCATCCTCCATTGAAGAGCTGCTGCTGCTGCTCCCTTGTTCCGGCTCCAGCTCCTGCTCAGCAGTCCTCTGTGATGGAGACTGAGAAGCTACATATTTCTTACCTGAAAGTTGTAAAAAACAAACAGCAAGCAGAGTTGGTATGGAAAGTGATTAATAGTAGGAAGAAAATGGGAGAGGAAGATGGGAAACTGAATATGGAGGGAGAAAACAACTTGGGAATGTTACTAAAGTCCCTCATCCCCACATAATACCTGGCTCATCTTCCTCCCCTAGGCCCTCCTGGCTGTCTTCCATCTCTTCCTCTGAATCTGTGAGCTCCTCATCTTCATCTTCTTCATCATCTTCTTCCTCTTCCTCTTCTTCATCATCATCATCTTCTTCTTCTTCATCTTCATCCTCATCTGTCTCAGTTTTGGAGACAGGGGGACAGGACGTGGACTTTTTCCCACTAGGGCCCTGCAAAAGAGGGAAGGCCTCTAATGAAACCATTCTCCCAAATCTTTATTCTCCTGAGTACTTCACCTCCCACAACTAGTTACTCTCTTCCCCAGAGACCCAGTATAAGGTCTGGGCAGGATTCTGCCCTCCAGGAATATCTGATCTGACATTGCCCCCCCCCCCCATACCTCTCCCAAATCTGTGGATGCTGTTGGAAGGTCTTCATTGTGAGGACAGTTTCCTTGGGTAAACCGGGCTCTCCTTCTCTGTCTCTCACCCTCTTCACTCTCATCTTGCATCATTGCATATTTGGAGATCACTTCATCCAGCCGACTGAGTGCCAAGCTTCTGTTCTCCCGAAGCCTACGGGCCAGGACAGGGTCTGACAATGCAGGGTCAATGCCTGAGGTGGGAGGGAGGTATGCAGTGTGAAGACATGGAACCAGAACTCCTAGCTCCAAAGCATAAGGAGTAATACCCTCCCCACAGGTCTAGTGTCTATGGCCCCACTCCCTGTACCTGGCCTATAGTCATCTGTGAGGTGACAGCCAAAGTTGTAGACAAGATCAAGATGGCGCCGCTCCTGTAACTTGGTGCCAACATCCCGAAAGGCATCCTGAGCAAGGAGCTGGAGCTGTCGCCTTGGAAGGCAGAGGCCGTGTCTCGTGGCTGCCTTTTCCACAGCTCGAAGAACGTCCCCATAATCAGGAAAGGTGTCTGGGCCAGGCCTGTTGATGAGACGCTCCACACGGCGATTGACCTCCGGGTATCGAGTGCCCCGATAGGGTATTCGTTGCTCAGTCACACGGCCTGTCAGTGAGCTACATGCTTTTAATTCACATAGACGCCCAAAGAGTCCTAGCAGCTTACGTTTCAGCCGCCCCTCCTGCAAATATGCAGAGTCCGGGTCATCTAGCTCAGAGAGGTCCAGCTCCTTTTCCTGAAGTCGTTTTATCTCTCCCACATACAATGCCAGCAGCTGCTCTAAGCGCTGGATCTGTCTCCGTGAACCTCGGGGTCGTGGGGAGCCAGAAGCAGTTTCTTCATTTGGGGCAGGGTTAGAGGAAGGATTGGCAGGAGGTGCATCCCCAGGGGGTTCAGTGGAAGCAGGGGTCAGGGGCACCTTCCTCTTGATCGAGTGGGCTTTGAGCAATGTACAAAGCTCATTAATGAAGACATAGAGCTTGGTAGGCCGGGTTTGGGCACGGTGGAGGACACGAGAGAGAACATTTCGGAGCTCGGCTGAGGCCAGGAACGTAGGGCGAGCACGTTGCCTTCGGTTACAGAGGTATGGGACGACCTCAGGGTGTTCTCCAGTTTGCTTCTTACACAGTTCAAGAAACTGGGATGGGATGGGGGAAAGTGAAGGGAGAAGTTCAAGGGATTGGAGGAAAAGAGACAAGGGAGGTGGTTGAGAAAGAAAGAGAAAGGTAGGGTTAGTAGGAGAAACTGATTAAAGACAGCTTCTTTGGCTCCCCTTCCTCCCTGGGGCATAAGAGCCTTCTCCCCTGCAGCTCACCTCTTCAAACAGCTTCTCATTCTCCAGCTGGTAGCATTTCTTGCTGCCCCCACTACTGCTGCTGCCTTCCCCACTGGACTGGAGGGAATCAGAGGCTGCTGCCAGGGGTTGGGCCCGATTTGGGGGTGGATAGGAAGGCCCTGGCTGGGCAGCTGCTTCATCCTCATCATCATCATCCAGCACGATAATGCTGTTAGCGGCAGCCATGGGGGGAGCGAAGCCCCTGGTGGGGGTGTTGGGGATTTCAGGAATCCTGCTGGGGGGGATGGGGCCTCAGAGACAGCCCCTCCAGGACATCCCCCCCATTCTCACACCTTACAGCATCAGTCTCATGTCACTCAATCGATGCCTGTCCCCCGCCCCCCCTTACCATTTCCCACCCAAGGACTTATCTGTCTGACCTCCCTGTCATCTCATAGTGTCTTGTCCTCTGAGACAAGGCTTACTCCACAAGCTTTCTTGAAGGTCCCCCACCTCCTCCTCCCCACCCCAAAACTCTCAAGTCCCACCCACTTGGCTCCATTCCTCAGTCCTCTCCCCTCCACTTCCAGTCCCATCTTCTCTACTCCTAGCTACCAAGATCTTATTCTTTCTTAAGACATCAGCACCGACACGGCCACCACCACGGCTGCCTCCCCTGCCCTCCATACAGTCCATCTCATACCCATTAAGGAACCGATTCCCTGTTCTCCGCCCAGCAAATCTTCATTCCCCTTCAACTCTCTGCCTGCCTGCCTGCCTGCCTGCCTGCCTGTCCTCCGCCTCTCCCTTGGAGCTGTCAGCTACACGAGTCCCAGGCTTTCCCTGAGCAAGGGCCCCGCAGACACTTCCTCTTCTTCGCCTCCTCCCCGCTTCCCCCTCTCCTCACGGTCCCCGCTCACGGCCCCCTGGCCGGACCCCAGAAGCCCCTAGCTGAGCCCCGCCTCCCCGCCTCCCGCAGGGGTTTCCCTCCCCCCAGCCCCCCATCCTCGCACTCACACTCCCATACACTCTCTCTCACACACACACACACACACACACACACACACACACACACGCACGCGCCCGTGCGCGCGCGCGCTCCCTCCTCAAGGGAGGGTCTCCGGCCGCCTTCCCCTCTCCCCACCCCAGCCTTGTCACAGGGTCCTCCCCTCAGACTCTTCCCTCCTCCCGCCCGCCTCGTGCGGCCCCCACCTCAGAAACAGTCCCTACGCCGCGGCCGCCGCCTCCACCGTCGCTGTCCGTCCCTCCCCCCTCCCCCTTACCCCCCGCTCCGTCACCCTCAGCTCTCCCTCTCCCTCTCTCCCTCTCTCTCTCTCTCTCTCTCTCACACACTCTCCGGCCCCCCCCCCGAATCACACAGCGCGCAGGAACGGAAACGATCATGTCTCAGCTCCTCCCAAAACATCCCTGGGAGCCGCCATCCTACCCTAATGGAGTCGACCAGAGGGATACAGGAAGTGACGGCACACAAGCTACCTACTCGGCCTTTCTACGGGAGACAGACGGCAAGTCACTTGGTGGTTCCATTGGCCCACTCCGACCAAATGCTTCAGGTGGGAGGGCTTTTCTGAGGCCGGGGGACTCAGACGTCCCTGAGGGGAAAGGGGGAGGCCATGTTGCCGTAACCTAATCTAATGGGGGCAAGGCAGCGAGGAATGTATGTATCTCCGAGGATTTGCCAATCTGCGGTCACGAGGTGAAGCCCTGCTCTACCAATCAAAGGCCGGCGTCCCCTCTGCCTTTCCCCTAATGTCTGCCCAATAGAGCTCCCAAACTAATATTGGCGGGTGGGAGGGTGCGGGGGAGAGGGGCGGGGAGGTAAGATTACTGGACCGTTCTCCGTCCTATTGTAATATAAAGTGGGCTTTCCTCGGCCCACAAGGACTGGGACGAACTACGATGATAAAGTTTTCTTTCAAGGCTTATATTGATATCAGACCCCGACTTCGCAGTTGATGCGTACCCCGACCACTCCGACCTTCCAGGCCTCCCTTCTGTCTCTAGCAGTCACCGAGAATGGGCCCAGGGGCTACCGGTTCAAGGACACGAGATCATTTCCATACGTACGGAATGTGTGCACGTAAGTAATCATTCCTTCCACCAATCAGGAGAGTCTTATGCAAATACTACCAGCGCGAACCTTGAGGTCGCGCGAAGTGCAAAACGCCGACTCTTAGCGTCTGTGCGCTCAAAGGTCACCGTGGCAACCAAGTGAGGGAGAGCCGTTCCGCACACCCTACTCTGTGGTTTGCCTGCCGTACGGCAAGATGGCGGCCTCCGGGGCGTGGGGAGGCACGCCCTTCTCGCCTTGCTGGGAAGGGGGGAGGGGGCTCTCGCTTCGGACTCTCTCTTTAGTCTGGGGGTCCCCGGGGCGGCCGCCCTGTGGGAGTGGCCAGTGGGACCCTAGGACTTAGTGATGGTGGGGGAGGTGAGGGACGTCCAGAGTCCTCGGCTGGAACTGAGGCTTTTAAAGGGTCAGACGCCTCTTTCTTCCTCTGCTGAGTCGGGGGTGGTGGGGGGGTGGTTGTGGGGCGGTTACGGCCGAGGAGGGGCGGGAGGGAATTGGAAAGAAACGGAGGCTGATGCTTCTCACTGATCCCAGCTTTATTGGAGGGAGAGGGAAGGCCAGGAAGAGACACGGGGCTGGTCCTGGGGCATATTCTGGTCCCTGGAGGGAGAAAGCAGGGTTAACGAGACTGGGGCACCAGGGGCGTCACCTCCTTCAGGTTCCCTAGCAACGGGGGAGCCCAGGAACAGGATTCAGGAGACCTGGCTTCTATTCCTGCTTCAGCGCATAGTTTCCGTCAGGCATCTTGGCCGACTATCTTTCCCTCTTCGGGACTTAGTTTCCCCCTTTATAAAATGGAAGGTGAACTAGGTCATCCGAGGAAGCTAGGTGTCGCAGTGGACCGAATGCTGGGCCTGGAATCAGCAAAACCTGAGTTCAGATCCTACCCCAGAGACTTATCAGCTGTGTGACCTTGGGCAGTTTAATCTCTGCTGGCCTCATTTCCTCCTCCTTAAAATAGGGATCATTATGGAACCTACTACCTCCCGGGGGAGTAATCAGCAACAAATGAGTTCATATTTGCAAAGCACTTTGTAAACCTTAAAGTGCTATATAAATACTAATTATTATCTACCTTTCCATGAGGGACCCCCAGCTGTTAGCAAAGACTAAAGGGCTCTTCCAAGCCTTTTCTTCTTTGGAACCTCCCATGGCCCTCCCCCTCCTCCCACCTTCTCACCTGAGAAACTTGTCTCCTATTTTACAGAAGAGATTTGAGGCCATTCACTGTAGCTCCCTCTTCTCTCCTCCTTTCCTGTCACTCAAGTGCCTTCCACCACTCTCTACTCCTTTATCGCAAACTCGCATGATTCATTCCTATTCCCAGGAAACCTTAGTGCCCATCTTGATCTCTTGGCATGTTTCTCACCTGAGTTGAGAGAGGAGGCATTCAGTGACTACAGCTCCAGTTCTTCTTCTTTTTGAGGTGCTCCAAGCAGCCAGCCCCAGAGGTTTGCCCAGGGTATTGGCCACAGCAACGTGTAGGCAGCCTCTAGCATCAGCACTGCCAGGAAGATGGCAAGAAAAATGAAAAAGGCCCTGTCTAGGGCCCGAAGAAAGGGACCCCTGGGAGGAGCAGGACCCTGGGCAAATGCCAAGAACACATCTCCCTCATCCCTATCGCCCTCCTCCTCTGCCATTCTGCCTTGAAAGCCTAACAGCTGAGCAGATCAAGCTGGATAGAATGGAGACACTGGGTCAGCACTACTTGGATTAATGGTGATTTAGGGGGGAAGGAGTTTTCTTGCTGTATGTGCCCTCTGTGACCTAATTCTCCAGAGACAGAAATAATGACTATAATAACAACATATAGCCCTTTAAAGTTTTCAAAGTGATTTACATATATTAGTATGAAGGTCCTACACCATCCCATTAATGTAATCATAGAAGGAGTAGACTATTAGATTGAATCATTCAAACTAGGTATATTAATCAATTTGAAAGAATTCTAGGACTGATCATTGGATGAAGACAGATGAACGATACCACACAGGAAAAACCTGTATTTGAAGGAAAGAATAAAAATACACCTGAAACGATAGTTGTAGAAGAGCTACAATCCTGAGGATTCAAGTTTGATCCAAGTCTGTAAGAGGGAATGGCTCTACCCTGTTGACCATGTTATTGTAAAGATGTTGTTGAATCAATAGTAGAGAGTTCATCCAGCTGAGATCAGAGAGACTAGACCAGTAGCAGATAGTACATATAGCAAGGAGGCATCAAAGACCATGAACCGTCATGGCAGAGAGACCAACTATGAATTCTATAAGTCACTGACCCTCAGAGCTCAGCAGATACTGCTGCACCTAAAGAGAACTTCATGAAGATTCTTTGAAGGGAGAACCAAACTACCACTAACCGGGAACCTTGAGTTACCCCTTTGTCATGTGTGCCTTACCACCTTTGTGCTTTATACTTATGCCTACTCTACCCATCAATCTTGTGTATTTTGGGGGAGCATACCCAGAGTGGTTGGTGGGCAGGGTGGAAGGGATTTTTTTTTTTTTAAGGCAGTTGGGGTTAAGTAACTTGCCCACACGGTTAGTGTCAAGTGTTTGGTATGAGGCTGGATTTGAACTCAGGTCCTCCTGACTTCAGGGCTGGTGCTCTATCCACTGCACCGCCTAGCTGCCCCCGGAAGGGATTTTTTTTCTCCAACTACCATTCTTGCCACTATACCTCTAGTCTATACCATCATAGTAAGTACCTTTGTTAAAAATTAATTTTGAGGGCATTAGATGATTATCAATGGGAAGCACGTCAGTGGGAGCTCCTGAGCTAGAAACTTGCCTCTTCACAGCTACCCCTCAGACCCTGAAAATGGTAGACAGCCGGTCTCTGGGAACTCTTCTGGCCAATATAAGTAAGAATTGGGGAAATGGCCATAGAGGGACTGTTGCCTATACATTTGAGCTTTGCCACAATTCTTTAAGATAGGCCTGTTTTACAAATGAAGAAGTAAGGCTCAGAGAGCCTTATTATTGACTTGCCCACAGTTACATAGGTGCTGAGTATGACCAGGAACAAAAAATTTCCTGATTCCAAAGTCTGGCTGCATCTGTCATGCCTCCAGGAACTAAAGGCTTTTCATTCTGATATGCAAACAGTCCCAAATACCCAGGATCCAAGGGCCACCTCCACTGACATCACACTGATTGGGTTTCAAAGCCTGTTAGTACTACTTGCTCAGGAAGATCCTTACTCTGGAGACTGAGATAGGCACCTGGGGCCCCTACACCATCCATCTTTCCTGCCATTATCTCAAAAACATCCACCAACTTCTAAATCAAAAGTCAGCCAAAAGAAGTCTGTGAGCAGAGAAAGCATTGAATCCTCTTACTTTCTTTGTGTAAGTGTAGGTGTTCCTGCAGACATAAATTTCTTCTTGAATTTGGGAATTCTAGGGTATTGGTTTTCATAGAAACAAACCTATGGAATGTCAGAGCTGGAAAAGACTATCAATAATCTAGTGTAAGACCCTCCCTCCTTTAGAAAGGAGGGAACTTAGGTTCACTGAGGGCACATGACTTGTTCATACAGTGAGTTTGTCAATTTATAAAATTAATAAATTTTGAAAAGTTGTACCGGCCGCGCCGACCTTCTGTCGGCAGCGCCAACCCTCTCCTCTTATAAGGAGCAGGCTGCCAGAGTCATACTCACTTTCGAGTCTTCGGTCCTCAGCCGGATAA